GACCTAATCTCTTGGCGCTACCAGTCAATACCCTACAAGCTATGCTCTCGAGTATTGACGCAGCATAATCCAGCCCTATGCAGGGACTTACCGGAAAAGTGTACACGTGTCTTGGACTAGGAAAATTCTGCTCTGTTATCTTCTGGGAGCCTTTTCGGCTCCTCCTATTTAATCCTATGCTTCTCATACAAATATCTAGTGAAATGTAGTCGTTTCGGATCTCTACCGACTCTTCAGGCGGCCGTTGAGCTCAGCGGCTATCCGGATAGCATATCCGGACAGATCGCCGAGTACTTACCGTGATCCTTGGCTCCTAAGCTCTGGGTTATCAGACCAAGCCGATTCTTGACCTAAAGTAGGTCGGCGTATGGTCGAATCTGGAAATCCCTACACCACATTAGCAAGATTTACAATGCTGATCAGAGCGGCGTCTGCTTCGAGTATCTGCCGAAGCAAACGATTTCAAAGAAGGGTGCTAAAACAGTTTGGGTCCGATGCGGGGGGAAAGATAAAGATCGTTTTACTGGCATGTTTTTGGCGGATTCGGACGGCAAGCAGTATCCACCGTTTTTTGTGATGAAAACAAAAGCATCTGCGAGCCCTGACACTGCTGCTTACAATACTGCGGTGCAACATGGCTTTGGAAAAACTCTGTGGAAAGAGGTGCAGTCTCTTACAGCGTCTTTAGGTGTACAAATTTACGGAAACAGCGCGGCGTGGTGGAACTCGGATTTATCCGTTGCGTGGCTGGATTTTCATTTTGCTAGTCGAGCTGATGACGAACCGGTACTCCTACTGTGGGATGACTTCTCCGGCCATTGGACGGAGAAAGTCGAGGCCTATGCCAACACACTCAATGTGTTCCTACTCAACAGGACTGACGTCGGTTTGCCAACCAGCGGATATCTCGTGGTTCAGACCATTCAAGCAGCGACTGAGAAAGAAATGGGTCAATCATTTGAGTACGCAGCTTAGAATGTTCAGCTCAAGCAGTGCAGATGCTGCGTTCAAGATGATAGCCCCCACTCGCGCTACTGCCATTACTTGGGCGACAACTGCATGGCGAGAATTGGGGGCGGGAGTAGTACGGAGTGGGTTTAAAGGTCTCTTAAAGGCTCGAAGTTGTGGCAGTTCAACTCACTCCACAGCTACCGAGAGCGAGGAGCAGCGCAACAGCATCTCTACGTCCGCCGATATCACGATGGATACAACAAGTGCTGTGGTGGCACGTCTCGAGACTCTGAATGTGATCATAGATACGGTAGACGACAGCGATGATATCGTCGAAAACATTGGTGAAGCTGGAGATGCGTAGATAACGCTAGGTGGGAATGATTTGCAAATTGTATGGCCAATTTTAGTTACTGAGGTTTTTTGTTTTGTATTTAAAGTTATGGTGTCCGGATGGACATATGTTATATCTCCACCCCACCACTTCAACAACTTTTTGTATTTCGTGTAATAAACACACCTAAATGTGGTGCACATCGCTGTTTAAAAGTGAACTGAGAACAAAGTCTCGGATCGACACAGGGAAGACTCAGCTTAGCCTCTACCAGCGTCGACAGCGGCGCAGCTGACGGACATGGAGGGCGACTACTCGCACTGTGACTTGTCGGAACCGGACTTCGAGGGTGAGCTGACCAAGCGCAGCGTGTGGCTTAAGGAGTGGCGTAAGCGCTACTTTGTACTCAAGGGCAACAAGCTCTACTTTTGTCGGGCTCAGGGCGAGCCTGCCCACGGGCTTATCGACCTGGCAGACTGCCTGACGGTCAAATCGGCCGAGGAGAAGACCAACAAACGCTTTTGCTTCGAAGTGGCCACGCCCGACTCGACTTTTTACATGTACGCGGAGAACGAGAAGCAGAAGGACGAGTGGATTGGCGCTATCGGCCGCGCTATCGTCAAGTTCTCCAGCTCCTTCACGGGCGACCAGGACGATGATGCGAACTAGCACACAGTAGGTATCAGTACAAGACACGTGAATTGCATACAAAAACTGGATGAAGGACAAAAAAAAGAATTATTTACAACTATGTACGTGCATAATGGAAAAGCAAAAAAACGATAAGAAAAAACTGGGTGGGGGGGCAGAGCTGGGCCACTCTGCTTCATGCGCAGTGCTTTCCCGACTTGTGGCCTCATTTTGGGGTGGCTTACTTTTCAGAAAGCACCTTGAAGAGACTGGGCACCACCTCCATACGCCAGGGACCTCCTTCCAGCACTTCTCCGTCGATGTTCATGCAGTCGTCGGGTTGGTCGGGTTCGATCTCCACGGCTTTGACCTTCAAGTACGAGATCAGTTCGCTCTGCAGCTCCTTGCCCATCACATACAGTCCGAACAGCTTGGCTACAGCCAGCAATCCGCCCTTACGGGTGAGAATGAGGTCCAGATTGCCGTCCGACGGGTGCGAGTAGGCGCCATCAGGAGTGATGTTGACGACGCCCACCACAACGTAGTTGCTGCAGTCCTCTTTCCACAGGAACTCGGGGTATCTCTTGCGACTGGCAGGGCTGGAAATGCTGCCGGCGATGCCTCCCCACGACTTGCGCTGCTGACTGAAGCGATCCATATCGTACGCTGTGCCTTCCTCCACTTCGAACTGGTCAAGCGCACCGGCATCCGGATAATCGTCGTACCGGAGAAGAGGCGGCTGCGGCTCCGTCAACACATACCGGACACGGCCACTGTGTTTCTTTGGCAACACGACGGTACGCTTCACCTTCAAGAAGGCATATCGGAGTGTACCCATCCAACGGTACCGTTCCGACTCGGCAGCGATGTCGCCCGCCACGCCCCAGCCAAGACCGCAGTAGCTGTAGTGCACCACCTCCGGGTAGGCAGCGGACACGGCCGTGACCACATCTAGAGGGCGCATTTTGCGCTTCAAGATGCAGTACAGAGCTGCGTTGACCGTGGGGATTCCTGCTCCTGTACCGAAGGCGTTCTGCGTACCGGCAGAAATGAGCGAGATGGGCGTCGAGGCCACAATTTCGCGCCATTCGTGCTCCGGACGAGTGAGTAGGCCGTTCATGAACTCACACAGCGTGCCGTCTCCTCCAATGAACACGAGAGCCTCGAAGCCATCGTCGGGCGAGTAACTCTTGCCCATTTCGGTGCCATGGCCAGAATGGGTCGTTTCCTCCACAACGCAATTAAAGTTACCCAAATCCAGATATGGCTTCACTTCGTCTTGCCAAATGCGGCGAGCTTGTCGTTTCCCCGAGTGCGGGTTCACCACCACCTTCAGGAGCCTTTTTTCGGAAATAGGCGGAGCACGAGCTTGCCACCGCACGAGCTCCTGGATGGCGCCGACCCAACTGTCCACTACGTCGGTCTCGAGGCAGTGGAAGTCCACGAACTTGGGAGTGCGTCGCAGCGCCTTGGCTCCAGTGCCGCGACCCTTTTTAAAGTAGTGAACACGGAATGTGTCGGCCTTCTTCTTGGCAAGAACCTCGGCGCCCACCACGTCGTCAGTCGGTAGGACACCGAGCGTCTTCTTGCCTCGGGACCACGTAATGGTCTCCGGGTCGAGTCTCAGCTCGCATTTGCGGACGTAATGATTGACCCGCACGACGGTGTTGAGCTCCGTGTCCAGCGGGGCTTCTCGTCTCGAGAAGGCCGTGACACGACGAATACTCTCACGCAGACTGCTGCCCACAACCTCGTGCGGGTTCTCGAACGTGAAGTCTCCGACTGAGGTGGAGCGCATACTGAACGCCGTCTTGGCCAGTTCCCTGGCGGACTCCTTCGACAGCTGCTGCACATAGGTTCGACTACGTTTGGGCGGCATGCCTAGGCTGCTCGCCTTGCCGGTACTGCGCGTGTGGGGCGACAGTTGTGGCAACTGCAGCTGGTGTTGCGCGTACTGCTGGTAGTTCTTGTGGGCGTTGCTGTTACTCTGAGCCTGAGTAAGCGTGGGCAGCGAGAAACCGTTTTGGCTACCGGTCTCCTCCTCTTCTTCGGGCGTCTTGGGCGTCGTTAGTTCCACGTCGCTGGAGCGTACGCCGCGCGGCGACAGGAGGTTGGACGACTGCGATGCGTAAGACGCTTCCTCGTCCGCGAAGTGCACACTCGACTTGCCGTGGGAACTGGGCGGAGTGTTCAATCCGTCCAAGAACGAGGCATTGCTGCGGCGCGGCGTTACGCTCAGCGCTCCGTCGGGGCCACGACTGGTGGTCGGGCTCATACTTAAGTAGTGGTTACAATGTAGTCACTTAGTGCACCTGATCGGGGTCCACTCCCGCTGCTTTCTGCGTCGCAGCCAGCGTTCGTTCGAATATGAATGATTGCCCCTTGCTGCCGCTCTCGCTCTATCCGTTCGACTCGTTACAAGTGGGTAGGGAAAGGGATCAACACAATCCAGCGCTAAAAACGGACTAAAAGGCCTTCTAATTATAGGTTTCAATCGTGTTAGCGAGTGAAAACGGGCGTCGTCTGACGTGTTAGTTGACAGTGAGCTTGACATTGGTCCTTGGAGGTGGAACAGCGCATGAAGGCAGCATGCCCCATGCAGTGCTCCATCGGGACTTGATATTCAAAGGCGGCTCGCCATAGAGCTTTTTTTTAAGGTGGGGCTAATTCTGGCTTTAAATCGCAGCTTGGACAGTCGTATTTCTTGATTACACCAATTTGAAAGCTCAGCTGCAGTTTTGATTACCCCAGCGACAACACCAGAATTCTTTTAAAAAATGCATTAATACATGTTCATGTGCTTCGGTCAAAGTACATGCTTGGAAAATACATTAACCAAGCGTCAATTACGGCAACAAAAATAACAATCAAACCAGAGTACAGTCATCAATTGGCCAGAGTGAACGGTATTTTTGGCTAGTAGAATTAGTAGTTTCTGCCGACTTAGATGTTAGTGAAGATCATTTTAATAACTGTCCGGAGCGAAATAGTGAAGCTCTCTTTTTGACAGAGGCACTGCTCGTTTCAGATATCGACGTCAGTGTGGCTGTCGCTTTCCGTGTTGTCAGATCAAACATCACTAAATGCGTCAACTCAAAGAGACTGGAAAAATTATTTAATGAAAAAACTTACTTTAAAAAAAAGCGTATGTCGTCACACTGTACTGAATGAGGCGAGTGTTGACCGCAAAAGCATGGACATGTCTTACTGTAGCTTATTATTACAAGCCGAGTGCCGCCGCTACGCGGCGGGTAAGAATGAGTCGCTCCTTGTGTTTTGCCTCCGTTCCGCTCGCCACGGGCTCGCTTCACTACTCGCACGGTAGGTTGGCAGATTGTGGCTGTGGCGGGCCGAAAGGCCCGCAGGGTTGCAGAAGATGCCGATTTGGGCCGCCCTCGCTGCGCTCGGCAGCTTTAAGACCAATCGGGGCCACCTTCGCTACGCTCGGCAGCCAGTAGGAATACTTAAATTGTTTTATCCAATGATTTGTCCGGAAAGCGTGACAGGCACGACAATTTAGTGTGACGGACAAACAGGTTGCTGCAGTAGATGTTTAAGACTAGCGCTCTGGGCGCCCGCTCCGCGGACGCTAGAGAATGGTTGGTTGGTATAGAGAGGGCCAACCACCTCCGCTGCGCTGCGGTGGGCTTAGAGTGTCTATTTAGAGCGAAGCTTCACATAATATATGAATACTGTGATCTACTTATGTTACGCTCCGAAACAACACCGCCCACGGTATCCTTAGTGCTCACATGTTATGGGAGACTTGACCCGGGCTGAACGTGATCTGCAATATGAGCACCATCTTACCCGGGAAGATTTGGGCTATAATCCCATTTGAGCGTATAACTCCTAAAATGACACGAATCGGAGGTGCGCGTGGTAGCAAATGTAATATATGCTTTGCGGAAGACGGGTCAGTACCAATGATGATCCCAAATTGGCATAGATAGGTGAGGAATCTCAGTGTAGCTGGAGTACATACGCCTGCTCAAACATATTACCATCCGCATGTCATCGCCGTGAGGCAGTCGACACCATATCTTTGATTGCAATGGTCTATTAGAGAAAGGTCTAGTCATCGCCTCGCACGAAGTATCTTTTAGGACAGGTAGTTTTTTTCGATGGTCGCCACAGACACCAATTTTATGCCTTGAAATCGTTCCGCTGAGCTCTTTATGATATTACTGAAGGGCATTTCCACTATCCTTCGCATGTATTGATCTTACTTGTATAGCTGACTTACTTACTGACTGATTTGCGTTGCTACTGCCTGACCGAGTGGTGTAGATCCGGCATTTACTGGTTCCGATATGTATGACGAACATACGAAGCCACATGGCTGTAGACAAATTATCAGATCATAAATATCTTAGACTTGAATCGAAAAGTAGATCATGTACATTAGATAAAAAACTTTCAGTGTCTAGCTAACAGCCCGGTGTGCTATTGGATATGTCCGTGTTTATTTCGCAATGTCGCGAATGGTGTGGTCGTGATAACCAACACCCATGTATTGGGTCACTGCTGCAATCTCGGTACTTTCGCACTGTCGTGCTAGCTTACAGTACTTACGCATATTATGCATCCGTCTATATGATAAAGCGCGTCGCTAATTAGGCACAGGTCATACCCGCGGTGACGCAGGCAGCCTGATACAAGCCGGCTGACCAAGCTTCTGTTAGCAGTAGGAAAAACAATATATACGCGCGCGGCAGGTACACAATATAGCCACCCTCGACTCAGCTCTTATCTCGACCATTATGGACAGGACCCTAAAGTACAATATTGCGTTCCGACACATCGACTTGCCACGTTCATCTACGGTCTGCACTGTCACGCAGTGGTAGTATCTATATCAACAGCAGCTTATTCGTCGCACGTAGCTCCCACTCAATACTGTAGTTTAAATTTGTGAGCGCCAATTAGTGAAATATACGCTATAAGAGCTGATGGTACATATAGCATGGTTTAGCGTGTGCCCACGTGAGCGAGTGTACGTGCCATCTACGGTGACGCGTATGCGGATAGGAACCACCAATTTGCAGTGGTGCATAGTTGATTCCATGTGCTAATTATTTTATGAAGCGCGCTACGCTCTGTAGGTGCGTCAACACCATAGTCAGCTTACCGTATGTGCGGCCCCAAGCCTCGCACCGTCAGCCAGTATACCAAAAACAAACATAGGTAGGGAAATGGGGGCCTAAAAGGGTATATTTACCAATTACTTGCTCTTCTGCTGCTTCTTTTGCTCGATGTACTTGGCGTTTCGGGCGGTCAGCTTGCGAGGGCGGCTGCGCCTCTTTTTCTTCTTGGGGTACCAGTCAGGACCCATCGCCTTCTTGACGTTCGCCAGGCTTTCCTGGCGGCGCACTTCGGCCGAATCAGGTGGTGGTGGCTTTCCCTCCCAAAACATAACCGCTTTTGGGCCGTTCTCGCAGGCAATACAGCGCCGCACGATGTCCCGCCCGCTGATTGTACGGAATGCGTAACCGTACTGTAGCTTCCCGCGGCAGACGCAGCGCGCCCGGGTATTCGTCGTAGACCGCTGCGGGCTCAGCAGAAGCGTGTCAATCTTCGCCTCGCATTGCTTGCACGTAGGGCCCACCATTTTGCAAACTGTGGGTATGTTAGAAAATTAAATTGTTTTAACCAATTACTTGCGTCCAAATATTAGCCAATAGCACGGAAATATAAGGCAGGTATTTATTATTAGGCAAAATAGTAAAATGTTTTATATTATTAATATTTTGGCTTTGCTATAATAATACTTGTATCATATTTTCAAACAAATACATACTTTACATGCAATAAAAGTGACTAAAAGACTATGTACCGTGCGCGCATGCATTCGTCGGGCGGGGTGCACGGGAGCAGATAGCGCAATGACCGTGCAGCCGCGCGCCTTCATTTTACGGTGGCAGTGGTGAGTGCCAGGTGACGTAAGAAAGATATATATTCGCAAAGTCCCTACCAAAAGCGCTGGTTGTGAAGCCTACTTTAATTTTAAAAAAATACGATCGTCTCTACTTTAGAAAGTCTGTGGAAAATAGCATTGCCGAGCCCTTACAAATGCTGCCTGTGAAGCTTATATTAATAATATTAGTACTATTAATATCGTCTTTACTTTGAAAAGTGCGTGGAAAATAACATCGCAGAGCTCTTACAAATACTGGTCTGTGAAGTCTACATTAATAATAATAAATATCTTTATTTGAGAAGTGTGCAGAGCTCTTAGTACATAAAGTGGTTACTCTGCCCGATTTGCAGTACATACGACAGGTTTTGCGTAGCTAAATGTTAGTAATCAAGTATCTGCGCAGCTCGCCTAGCTGTTTGCAACCAATCGATGCGTTTCGTGCTCAGCAGATATGTTTACATCACGTCCAATCCCGAGGGCGATAGACGGTCTGATCGTGCGACAGATCCAGTCAGTGTCGCAGGTCGGCAGTTATTGCCCAATCAGGGCGCGAGTTAATTGTGTCACGCTTTTGGATATACTTGTAATTTTGGCATAGTTAGGTCGAGTCAGAAAGGTAGGCGCGGTCGGTAAGATGGGAGGAAACTGTATTAGAAAGGGCGATTGTAGCCATGCGAAAAGGCAGGCAAAAGCAGGAAGAAAGGAACCGGACGGACTTATACACAGACGGACGGACACGCTGCAAGGTTAGAAACGTTTTGATTAAAGTATTAACTAGCGGTCTGGGCGTCCGCTCCGCGGACGCTAGGGCATGGTTGGTTGGTGTAGAGAGGGTCGACCACCTCCGCTGCGCTGCGGTGGGCTTAGAATTTTTACTCAAAGCGAAGCAACATATAGTACATGTATACTGTGATCTACGTATATTACGTTCCAAAACAACACCGCACACAGTATCCTTAGTGCTCACATGTTATGGTAGACACGACCAGGGTTTAACGTAATCTGCAAGAAGAGCACCATCTTACCCGGGAAGGTTTTGTCTATAATCTCGTTTGAGCGCATTGCTCCCAAAATGACACGAATCGGAGGCGCGCGTGGTTGCAAATGTAAAATACGCTGTTCAGAAGACGGTTCAGTATCAATGATGCTACAAAATTGGCATAGCGCTGTGAGGAATCCCAGTTTACCTGGAGTAAATACCCCTACTCAAACATATTTCCATCTGCACGTCATCGCGGTGAGGCAGTCGACACCATATCTTTGATTGCGACGGTCTATTAGAGCAAGGTTTGGCCATCTCCTCGGGCGAAGTAACGTTTAGGGCAGGTAGTATTTGCCGATGGCCACCAAAAACATCAATATTATGCCTTGTAGTTGTCCCGCTGAGCTCTTTATGATGTTACTGAAGGGCCTTTCCACTATCTTTCGCATGCATTATTCATACTTGCATAGCTGACGCACTTACT